CGTCGTGTTTTCCCTCTTCAACGGTGTCGTGCGTCCTTACGCCCAACTCTCTGTTTTCTGGCGCTACTGGATGTACTACATTAATCCGTCTACTTACTGGATCGGTGGCGTTCTCTCCGCTACTCTAAATAATACACCTATTCGCTGTGCACCTCAAGAAACTGCATATTTCAATCCACCACCAGGCTCAACATGCTCTTCATACGCTCAAGCTTTTGTGACCGCCATGGGCCAAGGATACCTCACCAATCCCGAAGCCACGGCTGATTGTGGTTATTGTCAATACGGTAGTGGTGTTGATTACTTGCGAACGTTAAATATTGAGCCGAGGGATAAGTGGAGGTATTTTGGTATTTTCCTTGCATTTTGCATTAGTAACTGGGCATTGGTGTATTTCTTTATTTATACTGTTAGAATTAGAGGGTGGGGTTTTGGATTTGGGTATGTGTTTGGTGTATTGGGTGCGTTAGTGAACAAAGGAAAGGGTTTGTTTAGGGGAAAGGAGTCGGAGCAAAAAGCGAAGTAATTTGTGGGGAGATAATTAGAATAGACATACCTAGGTATCCTGATATTCTTTTGAACTAATTCCATTATTTTTCAAGCAACCTCACACCTTTACAAAGCTTTTTGTCTCAGTCCCACACATCCCTTTGCAAATCACCAAAGGGAAAGATCAAAGTAAGAGAAGGTATGCTAGAGGAAGCGCAATGCACATAGGGGGGAACATCAAAGTGAAATATAAGTTAGAGGAGGAAAATGTCAAGCAACGATAAGGTTTCACTTAGAGGTGTGATTTTAAAAGAAACAGGAAATAGTTTTTCATAAAGACGAATGAGGGAATACCTATTCCTGGATGAAGTTAGGCTACATGTGTCATAACGAAATGTGCTTTCGGCTTACTGTTTTTGAGGTTTTTCGTTTGATATGTCCAGGTATCAAAATCACTGACAAGGGATTCTCCAGACATAGAATACCACTCAAGCGAACCCCTTTCTTAGTAAATCCGAGCTAAGATTTAGTATAGGTATACTTCTATTAGGGAAAAAAGGTAGAGGTTTACGCCAAATAAAGTTTGTTTGAGCGTTTCACGAGGCAAATTTTCAACCCTTGAGTTTGCGGTTCGGGTCGGTCACATCTATTTCTTGCTAAGGTTAAAAACAACCTTATAATCCAGCCGTTGTTTGTCGCATACACATGACAGTAAACATACATCAGGTCGCATCGCTTTCCAGTAGCCTCAGCATAGATATCAAATACTTCAATGCTGGAGATTTCTATCATAAGAGTTCATCATCACATACCCATCGCCAACTGACATGGTACAACCAAAGAGAACAGACCCAGTCTCTATCTATATGTGAGCCCCATAACGCCGACCTCATGCAACACGGATATCATTTTAACGCCAAAGTAAACCAATAAAAATTACAACTCTCCATCATGGTCTCCAAAGGAGCCCGCCTTTGCAGGATCTAAGGAAATCTCGTTAAACGTCCGAAGCTCTTCCTCTTCCAAAGTGCCAACGAAAGCGCGTTCAACAAAGGACAGCCATACTTTATTCTTTTCGTGTTGCTTATGGTGTTTCTTCTCTCTATGCTTCTCTTTCTTGCGCTTATCTGTGCTAGGGTCACCAGTATTAATCTCTTCGTTATCATCTATGTCGTTATCGTCCATATTATTTTCGGCGAGAATTTGTTCAAATTCTTCCTCAACAAGATCATCGATACTGTCACCATTTTCTGGCACATATTTGCCGATTCTGTGGGCCAGTTTGAGATAGCTCCGGACAGTCATGTCTTTGAGCTTGAAGACAGGATCGGTAAAAGTATCGTATTCTACTTGGTACTGAAAAGGCTTTGGCTTCGGTTCCTTTTCTTTGGGGTGCTTGCCCTTGTGTTTGCCCTCGTGCCATCTGTCTGTTGCCACCTGGCCCTCGAGGTCTTCTGGGTCGATCAATTGAGCATTGTTGATATATGTCAGATTTGCGAAGTATTGGGTATAGCCAAGCAGTGTCAATGTTTGAGGTGAATAGGCAGGACCAGGCGGTGAACGCTTGGAAGGTGGCAAAGGAACAGTCAAATCAGGATTCGATGGCTTCTTCTTCTTCTTCCCTTTCCTTTTTTTCTTCGTAATCGACTCTCCGTTGCCTTCTAAAGTATCGAAGTCATCATCTTCCTCTTCCTCTTGATGAATTTGATAAAGGTAAGTAGTATATATATCGTTATCGAGTTGCTTCATGACCTCCGAACTTGGTGTTGGCGATGCATCAGACCAGGCCACGGCATTTTCAAGACCAGTAATATTGTATTCGATGACCCGGAGAGTTGGGAAATAGTTTGGGACGACGCTTGGTGCAACATTCGTTACTTGAAATCGTTCTCCCCATGGACCTCCTATCTTTTTGAGGAGCTTGTCTCTCTTGCTCTTCTTGCCTCTGCCCTTCTTTTTCCTCTTGTTAGACTCTACGGGAACCTCTTCAGGTTGGAAGGCTGCAGCCGGATTTGGCAGACTAGACCAGTTTTCACGCAATTCCTCCAAATAGTCATTAGCGGATTCGATAGAAAGGTCGTCATCCAGCGACTCTCGCAAGAATCTGTTCTCAAAGGACAAACCCTCTTCAAGTATGCTTATCTTATTTGTATCCTGCAGCATGAAATGGTCAATATTCATGTGGCCATACAGGCCACCAACAACAACATCCCGATATTGTTGGAGCCAAAGAGTGTACTTCTGCCAGCAAGTCTCGTCCCACAATTGTTTGCTGTCTGTTCGAGCAGGAGGAACATGCCCTGTAAGGATTGCCTTCATTCCACGTTGTCGCATGAACTCTAGCTGAATGCGAAGCCATTCGAAATGTTCGAAACCTGGTTCTGACCGTAATGAGCAGCCATCGACAGCGGCATTATTGTTGAAGAAGTAAAGGGTGTTTAGACTGAAGACTGCTAGTTTCTTAGGTATGACTTCCACGTAATACCACCCTCCTCGTTCGAATCCGTGTCGCTGCTCTTCCGGTATAAACTTGCTCCAGATATCCGTGTACGACCTTAGCCATTTGTTTGGCCCAGAGAGGAGAATGTTATGAGGAAGGATGTCATTATTGCCGAATGTCGAGATGATAGGAATTGTGAGGGAGTTCTTGGGATCGTCCGCTTTGCTAAACGTCTCTGCAAACTTTTCTGCCACCCATCTATTCGTGTTCAAGACTTCGTCTTGGTGTCGCGGGATGCGCTCGTCGCTGTCGTGTCGTGCTGAGTCCCCTGTCCATACCACAAAGTCGATCTGATCCTTGAGATTCTCATTAATCCATTTAAAGGTTGCATTTATGAGACCGAAGGGAGTGTCGCAATCAGTCGTCTCCGCACCATATACCCCCGCTGGACCTGTGCCTCGATGGCAGGCATCGTCTTCGGCGGTCGAGGAATGGATCTTGTAGTAAGGGTCTGGGTGGAGGTCTGATATCTTCTTAGCATCGTACAAAGATAAGGCAGGTCCATAGCCAGCTTACCAGTTATGTGGAGGAATCGCCCATGCAATCGTGTTGAGGCTTGTCCATGCTGGGAGGGAGCTGTAAGGTCCTCCAATGACGTCTGCAGCGCCGATCGTGCAGAACCGATAGGCGTTGCATATGAAAATTTGAGCAGACACACTGCTATTAATGCTGAATCTAAACGCATATTTAAACAATCTGGTGAAGAAAATACTTAGGAAATAGTTGGCATTCTCATGCAAGGCGCCAGAGCCTTGTGTTTGTCAGGATCGTGCAGATGCTCCACTGGAAGGACCGGTGACGGTCGTGGCTTCCCAACGCAAGGATCTTGTCAACGACGCCTGGGTAAGAGAGCCGACCAAGTTGAATGCTTGAGAGAATGAGAGAGAATACAAACAATATAAGTTCAGCTAGGACAGCAGAGCGGTCAAGTTTAAAAGATTTCTTTGACCCGTCCGCACTCAACACGCACCCCCTCAAGGTGCCTTGAAACCATCATCACCTTCGTTGTTCTCATGGTGTGTGCGGTCATTTGGACCAATCAAGCGGTCCACGTGGAATTTCGAGGCCCATTCAGAGGTCACAATGCTTTTCTCGTTGAGGAGGAGTCGTGAATACCTCACGCGACACATCCAGCGCCTTGAATATTGTGGCGGAGAGAGGGTGAGATGTGGTCAGCTTGAGATACGATTTGCAGGCGGTCGAAGCGGTTAAGTGATTTATGACTGTATTTGCGGCTTTTTTCGTGGTACCTCCGGCAGTACGACCAAGTGTTACACTTGTTAATGCTTGGGAATTAGGTGAACATCCTTTTATAAGTAATAACAAGTGCCTTGAGTTGTATTTGAGGTAATTCTGTTATTATCGGTCGTGTATCAGAGAGAAAATGATATACAATCATTCTACATATACTTTCTTAATCTGGAGACTGGAAAACATCGTGTCCTCTTTTTAGGAACTATCGGCCTAAATAAGTAACGGGAAGTTATGCATTAAACTCTCTTTCCTCTGTTAACCTCAGGGGTAACAATTACAGCTTATCTTATTTGTAGTTGAAAAGTCATCTTGGTGTCAAACAACAGAACGTCTCATGTAACCAAAGATGGTGTAGAGATATCTCTTCCAAGACTTAGTCTTGCGCTAGTGGTAAAGTCTAGCATTTAAAGAAGACCAAATAACCAGTACTCGACGTTTTCGAAGTTAGTAAGGGTAATTAGTTGCATTAACTATGGGTAAATGTTCTTGAACGACAAGTTCTTGGGCTGCTGCTTGAGACAAACGGAACGAGAATCAGCACATGCACAAGACAAAGGTTTCACATGTACGAAGGTCGGTATCATTGGCCGTATATATCCGCCAAGCACGGCCCACTCTATTAATAATTATGACGGTTCGCATAAAGTCCGGTTAGTGAAGGTGTTCTTACTTATTGGTGGTGCGTAGCGACGCTTTTCTTAGGGGAAATTTCTGTACCATGTATATTCATAAATAAGGGCTTTATCGCTAACCAATTGGCATTGTGGCGGAGTGGTTAACGCGATAGCCTAGAATATCTTCGGATCTTCCCAGCTATTTCCTTCGGGAGCACAGGTTCGAGTCCTGTCAATGTCGCGTTGAATGTTGAGGGCGCATCAAAATTTTTGGTTATTTTTTGCACTGAAAATATTTTTAAGTGCGAACCCAAAACTTTTGTTCAACTACCCTATATTATTTAAACCAGGTGCTATTTATTTTCTTTGCCAAGAAACTTGAAAACATAGTATAAATAATACTTTAGTATGCCTCCGAGAGCTACTTCCTTCAAAATATCTATACTTCGTAATATTCATTGAGAAATTGGCACTACGCTTTCTATCCATCCTCAAAGTCCTCGAACCCTGCAGTGGCCTCTTGAAACCCAGAAATATTGTAAGAAGTGCCATTAAATTAGGAAGGGAGCAAAGCCACATGGTTTCTGATACGCACTCCCTAATACTACTCTTCTTCTAACTACTTATCTTCCACAGCTTACAGGATCTAGGGTTCTCATAGGGACCGACAATATCAATACTTAGAGCTACGTATTAGTCATCAAATATCACCACGTCTTTACGATCTTCGACTCGTAGCACCAAGTGGCTCATATTAATTGATACGATTACGATTCACGCGCGATTTTCTCAGTTTGAAAGTTTGCCTTACGTTTTCCACAGAAGTGAAAAAAAAACTCGCATTGATCAACCGCATTTGTACTCTACAAGTCACCTACAATTAATGCACTAGATAGTGAGTGTAGCATGAGAAGAGTAGTGTAGCCTCACTAAATATCTACGGTGTAAATAGAAATACAAGATGGACTAGTAAATACCACTTGACAAGTGTCACGGATTGGAAAAATACCCAAATGCTCGTCGAATTATTTAGGTATTTCCGAGAGAAGTGTTCATTACTATCCCGAAGTAGGCAGCTCATTTACAAGCAAAGGATCTTTAAGGAACATGTCGTTGTAACACATTTTGATCAAGCCCGGCTGTTAATCACATCCACATCTCTCTGGATCCTAATCTTACCCGCCTCGACGATCGGCTTTGGCTCGTCTAAGTGGTATGATGATGGAGTTGCGCTGGACGTCCCTTCTACAGCTCTATCACCTCTCAGAGGTGCCATATCCGTTGCCCCAGGCTCAAGTTTACTATAATTATTGCTTGCCTTTGAGGCCTTTGAACCTCCCTTGGATCCTGCGGAGCCGTTGCTTCTTGTTATCGAATGGAGCGATATGGCGCTTCGGACGCTGTTTACTGCCGATTGTATTCCATGCTCACTGATGAGGGGTTTAAGCATAGGCAGGGAGCAGGCAATAAGAGCCAGCCCAGCTTCAATCATTCCCCAGTACAAAATCGTCGTGATTGTTTCTACGAGGCCTAAATTAGCGTCCAGTACAATTGCCTTGGATGGATGGGACAAACGGTTTTCATCGACCTTGGCAGCATAGGCCGCAGGTGTAGTCACTACTTGTAAGAGTATAACAAGCCTAATGATTGAAGCAGCAAATGCCCTAGATAGAATAAGAATTAAGTCCATTCTCGCTTACCGGTATTCGGGAGACTTACATGAAAGCAAGGAGTAAAATGCATGTCACAGCAAATTTGCGCTTTATTGTTGTGTGAAGGCTCCAGACCTATTACGAACCATTGTAAGTCTATTGATTCATTCCCGGGGGGGGGGGGGGGGGAGACTTGCTGTTGGTAGTGGCAAGACAATCAGCAGAACATTGGTGATAAATTCCGTGACATAAAGACCTTCTTGTCTCTTCAATCCGTCAGGACAATAGGTAATCAGGTCTAGTCTTGACCCCCAGTGAGCATGGAAATGGGTTCCGCAACTAAAGATAATCGAGAATGTAAAGGTAACACCCCACGCAATGATGATCGCAATAAGTGCCCACGTAAAGTGACTGAACATGCCCTTGTTGGCTACCAGCAACTTTCGGTAGAAAAATACTATGCTCAACTTGATCCAACAATATGATTGGATCATGAGAAGAGAAAAAGCGAACTCAATCTTTCCAACACGCACTCGTCAGTATTGATGGTAAGTTCTTGACGTGGCGTTAACTCACTTGCTGTTCGATTTGGATCTCACGATTAATGTGCTTGAGAAGTTCTTCTTTCGAGCTACCCACAGGTGGTGGTGTATTGTATCCGAAGACACGCTTTTGGACACCTGAATTCTGTTAATCGACAATCTTGAACAGTTTGAGGATCTCATCAAAACACACCTGCGATCATGCACGCTCCCATCCCGATGACGAAGAACTGATTGAGAATCATCAGTCGATTGATTTGCAATATCCGAGGTGTTAACATACCATGGCTGGAAGCACCAACCAATCATCTACACCCATTTTTTGTTTTCTTGAGTTCCTCAAATAGGAACGAAGGAGGACCGTCACGATTCCAAGCACCGGAAGAACAGTACCAGCTGCGAGGATTTCATTTGGTGAGGCATACTTAACGAAAATTACACTTCCGCCTGGAGCCATTCTGATGAGCGTGTACGAGTGGGTTGTGGATGCGTATTCAGTTCAGATGGGATAGCAACAGTATTTTAGGTGTTGTGCATACAACAAATGGAGGTTTGATTCCTGATCAAATCATGAAGAGACTTAGTGGATCATAGGCCTCAAGGTTCTCGTTAAAGGTCAATACTGGCTTACGTGACACTCCTTATTAATAACATTATGCTTGTAATTATTCCTCATTGTTTAGGGGGGGGGTTGAGGAAGGTGGGAGTGCTCGATATCCAATGCTGTGCCTCCATCCTTGAAGCAGTTGCGGTTTCGCGCTGCGGGCCGCAACCTACGCCTCTCCCGGGCAGATTGCGTTGCTTCCCCGCTGATCACCATGAGCTACGGGTAAAACTGGTTTTTGGTTCTCAAGCAGGGGTCTGTCTATATGCATGCAATAGGACTGAATCACCAATATCTGCATACTTCAGCACAGAACCCTACTCCTCTCCTCTAGAATGTCGTTCTTTGTTACCTCGATTAAATATCAATAGCTACCAAGTACATTTGCACTTGCCCATCCTACAGATACAGAAGTTAAAATAGTATTGGGCTTCGGCGTTGAACTTTGTGATCAAAGATGATATGTCGTTCCCATTGGTTCCACAATACGAAAAGAATACAAATCTAGGAGGTACTCATTGGCTTACCATGCAGAGAACCTTCCGCAAAGAGATCACACAGCTTCATTACTATGATCTGCTTTGATGATTGGAGAGTTCCAAAATTCCCTGTGATGGACTGTTGAGGCGTATTCCAAGCTTGTTGTTTCGGTGTGACCTATGAGTAAGTGCTAATTAAGCATGTTTTTACTAGGTAATGATACGAGGGAGCGAATTGCACGTCACCGACCTATCTCAAGGGTTGGTTGGAACTCATGCGTAATCAGTATCGGTATGCGCTTTCTAGATTCGATCACCATTCCCCGGATATGAAATTGTACGTGATTGAAGTATGCAGACCCTGTACGTTCCCTTCTCGCCGGGCAATATCCATACCAATCCTTCGGACGACTTCTAAAAGGACCGGCTTTCACTGATCCCAGGTTATCCCAGCAACTATTTACCATACCACGTTGTAATTATAGGTTGAACGGTAATTTTCTCCTCATTTGCTAGTATACCAACATTTTAGCAGTTGATTGGATTGTTAGCTTCTACTTGGGCGAAGTCCAGAGAGAATTCTAGAGGTCTTGAGAAACTTGATCACATGCACCAGAAGTTGTCTGCTCTGGCAAATCGATATGGCATTATCTGTCGGGGTGTTAATTATTGTATGCTTTGTTTGTGTTTATCCTGTTTATCAAATATGCGCTTCAGTCTCCTATCGAGTTGCTGCCTACCGGGCTGGCTGCTCTATGCCAACAAAATACCGACACAAATTTCCAATATTGGGCCTGGATTTATTCAAAAAGCGAATTGATTCCATTAAGAGTGGGAAAGCATTGGTTGTAGACCAGTATCTCTTCAGCACATATGGCAAAACGGTCGAGACAAACAGTTTTGGCACCAAACAATATGTTACGATGGATCTGGACAATATACAGACCATTCTTGCAACACAAGTTGAAAAGTTTGGCTCTGCACCTATGAGTCGTGCTCTTTGCCAACCGCTCCTTGGTGATGGGATACTCACAACGGATGGCGCATTATGGAAACGATCACGGCAGTTCGTCAATCCCATCTTTGCTCGAGCTCAAGTATCGGAGCTCTCAACCTTCAATGTCCACGTTAAACGAATGATTGACTTCATTCCGCGAGATGGATCCACTATCGACTTACAACCACTTTTCAAAAAGCTGTTTATGGACAGCACAACCGAGTTTATCTTTGGCAAGTCCGCTAACGCGCTCTGCCCTGAGAAGAGCAGTGTTCTTGCCCAGAGACTGCCAGCAATATTCGATGATGCACTTCGTGGACTTCGAAAGCGTTTCTTGATGGGCAAGCTTGGGTTTTTAGCAGGTAACGACAAAGAATGGCTTAGGAAGTGTGCTGAAGTGCATGCGATTGTGGATACTTTTATCGACGAAGAAATTGAGCTTCAAAAGACGAAGAAAGAAATGCCTCGAGAAGATACCCCTTATTCCTATATTCTACTAAGGGAGCTAGTCAAAACCACCGATGATAAAAAGTTTATTCGAAACGAGCTGATGAACGTCTTCTTCCCATCACGCGATAGTGCTGCTGTTTTGACTGGTAATGCGATATTCTTGCTTGCTCGACATCCTGAAATATGGAATAAAGCTCGTGAAGAGGTTCTTAGCATTGAAAAGCAGAAGTTAACTTTTGAGCTTCTCAAGTCATTAAAGTTTATCCATGGGATCATTCATGAAAGTATGTATCGCATCAGAATCGTAATGAAGCTATAGGCTAATTTGCTCCACAGCTCTTCGAATACTGAGTCCCGTTGCTCGTAGTTGGAAGACATGCCTCGAAACTTGTGTTCTTCCACATGGAGGTGGCCCGACAGGGGAAGAGCCAATTCTCCTCCAGGTGGGAGATCAAGTCGACATGGCTTTCAGCTCTATGCACATTGATCCTGCATTATGGGGCTCCGACTCTTTGGA